TTGCCTAAGAATAATTGATTTGGCCTTATTTCCTGTTCCTTGTTTGGTTGTGGTCCTAGGGTAGAGTCTATTATTCGACAGTCTATTAGATCCTGTTCTGTGTATAATTTGCATGCATAACGCAGCCGACAGTGAGGACGGATGGATGTGGATAGCGCGAGTCGCGATACGTGGGTGGAATGTTCTGTGGCAGTTCTTTGGATCGGAGTGTTTCTGCACGAATGTTGCTTGCTTCGTGCTTTGTGGAACTCTTGAGTGATGGGAGTCAGCCACTAAGTGGATATGGCAATATCCAGGAGGTGGATGGTTGGCATCATGAGGAGTTCTTTAGCAACTGATGGCAGGGTGAGATTGGGAACCTAGGAAAGCCTAGGTTATGCTCCAGTGAGATAGTGGGGCGGTTCAGTGAGGTTGGAAGTCCAGTAGGTGCTTCGGTGGATATTACGTTGCGGTTTAGCGGATATTCGGTGCATCAATGGGGTAGGTGACTTAGAGAATTCAGGAGGATTGCTGAGGAAAGTATGGATAGGTGTGGAAGGTAGTATGGGCCCGTACTACTGAAAGCACAGGATCCATACTCGAATCAGTGAGAGTCTTGGAGAATCTAAGAAACCTGGGAGAGAGGAATTTTGATTATGATTGAACCGTGGGGATAGCTGCTGTGCAGACTATGGATGAGCACACAAAGAGAAGGACCAGGGTTTGGTCCCGGCTCCGGTGGTGAGCCAGTTAGCAGAAGGACTGCCAGGACTTGGAGTACGCCTAGGTTCAGGCGGCAAGGATTGTGCTATCTAGTGCACATTCGGGATTGGAGACCAAGTCTCAGGGACAGCTTGTAGCCCGGTTTAGAGCAGATATTGTTCCAGTTATTGCAGTGTGGTATTGGCATTTGAGCCAGTGAGCGGGTTAGGGTGCGAGACCCTGGATGATATGGATTCCAGGGCCCGAGGGCAGAAGATTGATTAGGAGTACCTCGAGGAGAGAGGTTCAAGCCATGGGAAGTTAGTGGAGGATCTCGGGAAGAGATCCAGAAGCTTTGATTAGCTTTTGAGGGGCCAGTGGGGCCGGATTCGGTGCAACGCTTGCAGAAATTGCACGATGGAGCTTCGCTCCAAGAGTTGGATTGTCATTAGGACCGGAATAAAGTATTACATCATGTTCTCAGGAGGAGGTGGTCAGGGTTCCTCCAGATGTTTACGGATATGCTATATTCGGCTATTCCTGGTGGATATCAGGAATTTGCATTGCTTTGGAGTGGTGATAAGTTAGATCTCGGTTCGGTTCTCTGCTATTTTCTAGGATAGCAAGAGTTGTCAGATTCTAGTCAGCACGCCGAGGAATTTTTGAGGAATCATCAGACGGACATACCATGCGGAGTGGAATCCGCGTCTACCGTGATTGCTCTGGGTCATTGTCGGATTATGTTCAGTGATCTGAGTTGCTACGGGTGTAGCAGGTTTGGTCACATTGTTAGGGATTGCCCACAGGGGGAAAGCTCGTTATAATTGTTGCGATCAGAAGGGTGACAAGGAGGTAGACCATTTGAGAATCAGAGAGGAGCGATGAGTGCATCCGCTCCGGCTATTTTGTGGATCACTATTTGGACGAGAGGGTAGAGCCGGAGCCCAGCAGGGAGGGGCCCCACTTGCAGGGTCAGAGTGGGGAGACCGGAACTCCAGCAGACAAGGGTGCAGGCATGATAGGTGTATCATTGGTTGTTATCTTTGGTGGTGGTTGAGTTATACGCACCTTCAAGAAGAGCTATATGCCATCTGCATATTGTGATTTGGGTGGAATAGTACGGGATCATCTCCTGTTATATCGTGGATTTTTCCAGCAATTGAGTGTCATTTTGAGTATGGCCAGGGTTGGTTCAAGGGTTCGTACGAGGGAATTATGATTAGGTTTCAGTAACCTTAGCAATTATGTTAGGAAAGTCTCTCGGAGTTGCCAATGGAGGGAAGGAGAAGCTGTCGCTGAAGTATTGAGGGAACATCCGACCTTGGATTCCGAGATCTGAGTGTGATAACAGTGTGAACAGCCAGAGTCATTGGCATTGTTGGGGCGCAAGATGTGTTAGTTGGTTTCGGAAATTGTGTTGTTTGGAAGGGGTATGCATGGTGTTCTAGCTTTGGTAAGCACCGGTCGCCAGCAAGGTGAGCATTGGAACGTAATGAGGATTGGGAATCCTGCAATTTTCGTGTGCAGAGCGGTCTTAGTTGAATCTAAGTGGGGGAGAACCGTCCAGGCATCCGGGTCAGAAGTAGGGTGAAAGTGATGTAAGGCTACGGGGGAGCCGTATCATTCACTAATGGTCAGATAGGGTATAGTGTTGTAAGACAATGGGGGGAGCCGTAGCATTCACTAACGGTAGAGAGTGTTGTAAGGCTACGGGGGAACTGTAGCATTCACTAGCGGTAGAGAGTGTTGTAAGGATATGGGGGTGCCGTAGCATTCACGGATTCTGTCAGGTGATTTGGACTAGGGTAGGCTAATTCACAAGGGTTGTGGGAGAGCCACAACTTAGTAGGATCAGGACCCGAGGTGGTCAGGACCTGAGGTGGTCAGGACCCGAGGTGGTTGATCGATCAGTTATCCGGGGGCAAGCCTGGACGTGTATGGGAGTTCAGGGTAGAACCGGTAGAGACTATTGAGCTAAGGGTAGGACCTTGTGATACAGGATCTTGTGGTTGAGTGGTGCATGTTTCTGTAGGGCTGCGGCTGGGTAGCCTTGTTTTGGGATCTCATAGGAACCTGGTGGTTGGACCAGGTGCAATACTGGAAGTCTCAGAGAATCAGCTAAGGGTATTTATTAACCGGTCAAGTAAAGGATGATGGGAAGTCATGGGGCATTATGCAAATGCCGATTTGAGGAACTCTTGATGGGACAGGAGCAACAATTCGAATTTGGATAGGAACCCAAATCGGAATTCGTGCAGGATCTCGTTTCAGCGAGATATGATGTGGGGCGTCTATATGACAAGGGCATTGAGGGCAGAATTCCAGGTTCGTGAACGGGTTGGTTTGATGGTGGTTTAAGTCATTGGGATGTGTCCTGGGTGTCAATTCCAGCAAGAAAAGATTGGCGGAATGACAATAACATCCCCCCTTTCACATTTACTTCTTCTTCTTCGATCCTCTTTCTCACACTCAACCGCTTTCTTTCTGCCCCACAACACTGGCACATACATATACATCTAGAGTTTGAGTTTTGCTTAAGAAGGAATACAATGAAAGTAACAACAAAAAATGGGTCGCAGGTTCTTCGTTATCCCCATGCTATCGTGATGTAAGGAACAAGTAGACAAGAATTTCCAAAACCGACAAAAAAACAACCCCTCAAGTTTGGTCCATTGACAATTTTAATCTAGATTTGATTTTCTTTAACAAAATAGGTTTCCATAAATAGCATAATGCCCCCTGGACTTTTATATTATTATTATTATTATTATTATTATTATTATTATTTTAACCCTTTACATCTATAAAACGCCTTTAATTTAATTCATTTGCAAAACCTTAAAAATTAGTCTTTAATTATATCATTATTTGTATTATTTATCAACCATATTTTGAAATAATTAAAAGGAAATGAGGCGTGACAATATGTTCCAATTTTGTCTTTTAGCAGGTTCTGTGGTTCCCGGTATTGGACCAGTTTGTTATGTGTAATCTGTGAAACTTGTAAAAACTACATAACTAATTCCCTTGAAGTCAAATTGCCATGAGATTTTTTTCTAGCATGTATTATATAACTTTCACTTCAATTTACGATATAATTCTATTAGTTTTTTTTCCATATTGCATGAGTTATAGTCCACCAAAGTATCAAAAGCTAAAAGTTTTCTTGTTTTCCAACTTTTATATGTAATTTGTGAAACTTTTAAAAATTACACAACTTATTCGTTTGAATTTGGATTGACATGAGATCTTTTCCAACATATATTTTATAGTTTGTATTTCAAATTAGGTTATACTTTTATCATTCTTGGTTCCATATAAAATGAGTTACAATCCCATATAGTCGATGTATCAAAGTTGAAAGTTTTTCAGTTTTCAGCTTTTATGTGTAATATGTGAAACTTTTACAAATTACAAAATTCATTCGCTTGAAGTCGGATTGACATAATATATTTTCCAACATGTAGTTTATAGTCTGTACTTCAATTTAGGCTATAATTTCGTAATTTTTGGTTCCATATTAAATGAGTTGCAGTCCCTGAACTCGAGGTATCAAAGCTAAAAGTTTTTCGCTACTGTTTAAATGACTTATAGCATATGTAACAAATGTTATACCGGTTTAATGAGTCCAAGAACCAAAAAACCAGCACCGACACCAGAACCTATATGTGTCACTAGGGTCCAGTCCACTGTCCAAGGAATTCTCTAAAACCGACCCGATTGGACACTCGCCCTTAGAAGCAACCACACCAAAGTTGATGTACTACTAATGATCGTAGAGAAGAAAGCTATAAGTGAAAAGAAGAGAGAGAGTTGACTTTACCATACTCTATGATTCGTCGTTGCATCTCGTGGTGAAGAGAACGTAGAGCAACACTCATATCACCACGACACCCTCTTGGGGCGTTTGCACGACCGTAGTGAAATGCCAACGTGGCATGAAACCCTCCCGTGGTATGCATACCGAGAGACCTAAATTTAACTGTGGCCTCGTGAAGTATTGACTATTTTTAGACAATCAAAAGTTGTATACTCCGTCATGAGTTCACTAAAAGAAATAAAAGAAAAAAACGAGAGAAAATAAAAGAAGTGAATTGATTTTCATTTTCTTTCTCTTACGAGTTCATTGTGACTTGAAAGGATAGTTTATATGAAAAATTAATATGAATCTTCTTTTTGTTATTTTTGTTATTTTTTTTAAACAAAACTCAGGAACAATAATTTTTATTTATTTATTTATTCTTCGAGGAGTAATGCGTTTGGAAATTTCCTTTTATGTAAACGGATATATATATATTTTTCTTTCGCTCGGGAGAGATCTCTCTCTTTAAGCTTCTAGGGTTTAGCAGTACGTATCTCTCTAATGGTAACAGTGTCGATCGATATTTGAAGAGTCCATCTGTATTTGAAATTTTAGATTTTGCTATTTTCACCGGATATACAAATTTTCATCAATGTCGATTCCAAGCGAATTGTATCCTAGCCAAGACGATCTTCTGTACGAGGAAGAGCTCCTCAGAAATCCCTTCAGTCTGAAGCTATGGTGGCGTTACCTGATTGCGCGAACCGAATCCCCTTTCAAGAAAAGAGCAGTAATCTATGAACGAGCTCTCAAAGCCCTTCCCGGAAGCTACAAACTATGGCATGCTTATCTCCGCGAACGCCTCGAATTGGTACGCAATTTACCTATTTCTCACGCCCAGTACCAAACTCTAAACAATACATTCGAACGAGCTTTAGTTACAATGCACAAAATGCCTCGAATTTGGATCATGTACTTGACTAGTTTAACTGAGCAGAAGCTGGTTACTCGAACTCGTAGGACCTTTGATAGAGCTCTCTGCGCCTTGCCTGTGACACAACACGAAAGGATTTGGGAACCATATTTGGTTTTCGTGAGCCAAAGGGGTGTTCCTATTGAGACGTCACTTAGGGTTTACAGAAGGTATCTGAAGTATGACCCTGGTCATATCGAGAATCTCATTGAGTTCTTGTTGAATTCGAAGCTATGGCAAGAAGCAGCTGAGAGATTGGCTGGCGTCTTAAACGACGATAGATTCTATTCGATTAAGGGGAAGACTAAACATAGGCTATGGTTAGAGCTATGTGATTTGCTTACCCAACATGCTACAGAGATCTCAGGTTTGAATGTGGATGCTATCATTAGAGGTGGTATCAGGAAGTTTACAGATGAGGTGGGTCGTCTATGGACTTCATTAGCAGATTATTATATCAGGAGGCAGTTGTTAGAGAAAGCCAGAGATGTATTTGAAGAAGGGATGACTACTGTTGTGACAGTAAGAGATTTTAGTGTAATCTTTGATGCATACTCACAGTTTGAAGAAAGCGTGCTTGCTTTGAGGATGGAAACCATGACTGAGAGTGAAGATGAAGAGGAAGATGGTGAGACAGAGAATGGCATCGAAGATGAAGATGAAGAAGATGATAGGCTTGATGTGGGAAAGCTGGAGGAAAAACTTAAGAAATTTTGGGTCTCTGATTACAAGGATGTTAATTTGAGGATAGCAAGATTCGAGCATCTTATGGATAGAAGGCCAGAACTTGCTAATAGTGTTCTTCTTCGCCAAAACCCTCATAATGTGGAACAATGGCATAGAAGAGTCAAGATATTTGAAGGGAACCCCACAAAGCAGATATTGACATACACTGAGGCTGTAAGAACAATTGATCCAATGAAAGCTGTTGGGAAACCTCATACTTTATGGGTTGCATTCGCCAAATTGTATGAAAGTCACAAGGATATTGGTAATGCAAGGGTAATATTTGATAAGGCTGTGCAAGTGAATTATAAAGCTGTGGATAATTTGGCTAGTGTGTGGTGTGAATGGGCAGAAATGGAACTTAGACATAAAAATTTCAAGGGAGCTTTGGAACTAATGAGGAGGGCTACTGCTGAACCTTCTGTTGAGGTCAAACGGAGAGGTAATTACTATGCTAGTTTGCTTTGCTTATATGTTTTCATCATAAGAATCCATGTGAAAATATTTGCTACAGAATTATTAAGCTTCTGTTTCCTTTTTTATCCTCACTAAGGTGTTTGTGACTTTTTTCTTTGACTTGATGGAATTAATGGGAACATGACTTATCCTGGACAGGTATATAGTAGTGCTTCTATTTGACTTGATATAAACTAATGAGCTTAATGGTTTAAGTGACAGGAGGGTGTCTTTATCCATTAAGAACTCATTAACCACTCTCCTTTTTTTTTTCTTTTCTTTTAAAACATATTCAAACCTACTCATATTCTTCCCCCTAAAATTAGCTGGTTCTCTCTCCTACCCTCGTCTTCTTCCCCTAGAACATGTAGGTATTGTTACATTTTAAAAAAATTATATTTTAATTTACATTTTCAACTTATAAGTTATAACGATTCTTAAATAAACAATCAATTATTAATCTGTATCCAGTGATCACTTCTACACAGAAGGGTAAAATGGACAATATTTCATATTCAGTTGTTATATCTTTATAAGTAGAGATTAAGTCCATTGAATTAAAAAGGAACAGCATGGTAGATATCTTGAATTGCTTTTTTTTACTTTACACTTTGTAGGCTGTAGCATGTATTATATTTTACAATTGATGGTTTGGAGTCTTACATTGTTTCTTTTTTTTTAATCAGTGGCTGCTGATGGCAATGAACCAGTACAAATAAAGTTGCACAAATCCTTGAGACTTTGGACTTTTTATGTGGATTTAGAGGAAAGTTTAGGCACTTTGGAATCCACTCGTGCTGTTTATGAGAGGATCTTGGATCTTCGTATTGCCACTCCACAAATTATTATAAACTATGCAATGCTATTAGAGGTATGGAACTTACTCTTATTTTCTTTATAATGTACTTTCATTTATTTCTTTATTATAGGTTATATATTAAGGTATTGTACTTTCAAAATTTACCCAATAGATATTGCTTTGTATTTTGATGACATTGCTATAATTCGGTAGATTTCTCAAAGTATAGTGCTTTAGTAGGAAGATATTATAAACAAATAGAAGAAAGTACATTGCTGTATTTTTATTATCTTGAATTTAACCCTTTTCTTTATGATGACAAGCAATGAAATTGAAAGTAGAATGCTATATATAACTCTGCATGTTACATTTGTACTTGTTAATGTGTGAAATCAAAAACTTATAATTTGACTGAGTTGCATGTTATCCAGGATAACAAGTACTTTGAAGATGCTTTTAAGGTGTATGAAAGAGGTGTGAAGATCTTCAAATACCCACATGTGAAGGATATTTGGGTTACTTATCTCTCTAAATTTGTCAAAAGATACGGGAAGTCCAAACTTGAAAGGGCTAGAGAACTATTTGAGCATGCAGTTGAAATGGTACTATGGTTATTCTAATCCAAAATGGAACTCTAATTTCATCATTGAATGATGTTGAAAAATTATTTGAGAAAATCAAACTTATATAATATTATTGATGTGTGATTATTGAACAGGCTCCTGCAGAAGTTGTAAAGCCATTATACATTCAATATGCAAAACTGGAAGAAGATTATGGTCTAGCTAAAAGAGCCATGAGGGTATATGATCAAGGCACAAAAGCTGTCCCATCAAATGAGAAATTAAGCATGTATGAAATATACATCGCACGTGCAGCTGAAATATTTGGAGTTCCAAAAACTCGGGAGATTTATGAGCAGGCAATTGTGACAGATGGACTTCCAGAAAAGGATGCAATGAAGATGTGTATAAAATATGCAGAGCTTGAAAAGAGTCTTGGAGAAATCGATAGGGCAAGAAAGATATATGTTTATGCATCTTGGTTGGCTGATCCCAGATCTGATGGTGATTTTTGGAATAAATGGCATGAATTTGAAGTGCAACATGGGAATGAGGATACTTTTAGAGATATGCTCAGGATTAAGAGGAGTGTTTCTGCTAGACATAGCCAGGTATCTATCTCATCATGTCATGTCATGTCATGTGCTTACTTTTTTTTTAGGTTCGTGGGATTTGGCCAGAATCGGAATTCAATTCCAGTGTTTGGTTAGAAATCTGTTGGAACTAATGAATTCCCTTGACTGATGGATTTCAATAGTACATGGATTTTTCTTTTCTTAACAGAGTAATTTAAGTATTTAGAGTGAATTGCATTTTTGGTCCCCGAGTTTAGCTGATGTTTGCATTTGTCCCAAAAAAGTTTTCTCTTGCAGTTTTGGTCCTCATTTAAGATTATTATTCCCTATTCAAAAAATGAATATAATTTAGGACCAAAATCGCAAAAATCAGATATATTGAAGGACCAACTATAGTCATTTTACTTGGAACGGGACCAAAAATGTTGCAAGAACTTCGGTTGAGGACCAAAATTGCAAGAAAAGACTTTTTGGGACCTAAATTGCAAAAATCTTCTATACCCGGACAATAAAACGTTACATGAAGAGCACTAAAATTGCAAGCAAAAACTTTTGGGACCAAAAAAGGAAAATCTGCTATGCCCGGGGATCAAAAATGTAGTTTACTCCAATATTTATAATACATTTTTCCTAAAAATATATATATATATTAAAAAAATAAATAGCATTTCCATCATAATACGCATAATATACTTTTTTTTAGCCAAAATGGTTTTTAAAGGATTGCATGAACAAGATACTACTATTAAAGGGTAGTTTAAACTTTTTTGTAAGTATTTATAATTTATTTTCAAATATGTATCCATAAAACCGACAAGAAATCAAGGGTAATTCTGTCATTTGTCATTATTTGTTCTGCAGATTTACAAACCAAACAAAGGAATTCCATTCCATTCCATTTCCTATTAACCAGATCTCAATTTGATTCCCATTCCTTCCAAAACATTTTCCTAACCAAACACCACCTAAAGATTTGAGTACTATAATCATATTATTAACGCACACGTTAAAAAATAGATATTAACAATTGTTTGTTACAGACACACGTGATGCTACCTGAGTACTTAATGCAAAAGCCTACAGTCGATGAAGCCATGGACGCATTAAAGAAAGCCGGTGTCCCTGAAGACGAAATGGCCGCTTTAGAAAGACAGCTGGCACCTGCCGCCCCCAAAACCACCACCACCACCACCACCACCATGGATTCCGGCAACCGGAAGCTTGGATTTGTGAGTGGCGGTGTACAGTCGTCGGAAACCGCCTCTGGAATCCAAAACCAGGAAGAGATTGAGCTTCCGGAAAGTGATGATGAAGAAGAAGATGATGATGATGGGAAGGTTGAGATCTCACAGAAAGATGTTCCGGAAGCTGTTTTTGGAGGACTTGTGAGAAAAAGAGATGAAGAAGAAGAAGAAGAACAAGTGAAAAAAGATAATGAAAATGGTGATGCTGGTAGTCGTCTTGGTGCACTTGAAAGAATTAAGCGAATGCGACAGGGAAACTAGTTTTTTCTTTTTTGAGTTTAAATTGTTTTGAAATTTTGAATGTTTTAGTTGGGAATCGTTTAAAAAACTGTATTGTAAAAAACTTGTTATTGGTATTTCTACGAGTCTTTTTGGTGTTGGGATATCATTAGTTTTGAATTGTACCTAATCGATCCAAAGACCCACAATTTTGTTGCTTTACTTTTCAATTTGATTTTAGGGTAAGTGCAAATTATAAACTATTTTCATATATGTATTTATATTGGGCTAATGTAATATTTGTTTATAGGCATAGGTGTGAACACCGCCCCTTACCACTCACATCTGTCTTTCAAATGTATCAAAATTCATTTGCAATGCCACGTGAGACTTGGATTTCAAGTATAACAAGCATTTCAAAAGAGCCATTACAAAAAGAAATATCTTCTTTTTTGTTTAGTATTCATTTTAATTTATTTAATTTTTAAATTTACTTATTATATTATTTTAGTTTTTTTCATTAAAATATTTATAACAAATTTCTATATTATAAGAAAACGTGTAAAATTATTTTTATTGAATTAAATTTTAACCGATTTTAAATTATACAAGAAACTTATATATATATATATATATATATATATATATATATATATAATTTTAATAAGTTAAGAGATTGTAAAAAATTGTAAATTGGTAGTTGATGTGGCAATGGGATTCATTTTAAAAGATGGTTGTTAGGGCATCTCTAATCCTACACTAAAAAGTCATTTTTACACTATAAATTACACTATACCTAACACTATATACAATATTGAATTTTAGTGTAACATTATATATAATGTTGGATTTTTGTGTAACACTAAATATAATGTTGAATAAAGAACAATATACCTAGAATATTCTTTTTAATGTTAAATATAGTGTAATGGGTTGGAGAACTTAGTATTTATATTATATTTTACACTATAATTATATGTATAGTGTAAAAAAATAATGTTAATGGTTGGAGATGATCTTATTACACTGATATGAATGGTAATTGCAAAAGCAATGTGACTCATTTGAAAGGTTAATGATATTATACCGAAGTGGCTAGAACTACCAAGTGTTCACCCTCTTGTTTCTTTCCATATACCTTTTTCTCTTTCTTTTCATTTTTTTCTACCACATAGATTAATCAAGAGGCATTGGGTATTTTTTTTATTTTATTTCTTTTAACATGGGACAAATGACAACATTTCAATAGTATTTTATTTTCCTGTTTGGGTCACTATCTTATAATTGCTCTTTAGGTATCCTATATCCACCACACACCAAAAATATTGTAAATAAAATTAACTTTTATTTATAAGACAAAACTACAAAAATGATCCCTTTGCTTTGCATTTGTGCCGGGTTGTGGTTCAAATTTTGGAAAAATTGGATTCTTGGTCTTTTTGTACATCTTTCATTATGGCTTTGGTCCCTCTACAAATTAAAAAGAGTAATCTGTCTATCTTTATATTTTTTTTGGAATTTATTCTATTTAAATTAAATTTTTATTAAATATAAATGTGAGGTTCTCTCTCTCTCTCTCTCTCTCTCTCTCTCTCTCTCTCTCTCTCTCTCTCTCTC